CCTGCTGTTTTTCGGGTGGTATGTCGGCGGCGATAATGTGTCAATGTGAAACAGGTGGTCCTTACGATTGTTCGCCTGGACCGTTCCCGAGGTTGTCTCCCTCAGGAGTTGGGACAGCTGGAAGCACTACCTGCTTCCACGGGAACAACTTGAACGGCGAGTTCTTCGGCGGTAGCAAGAACAGAGTTTCACCGGCAATCTCGCCAATTCCGGCTGCCATGGTTTGCTTCCACTACATCTCAGAAGTCGAGGTCCGTGCGCACAAGCGTGTATTGTGAGACCTCATGGTGACAACCAGTGGCCCCACGCCACATAGGCAATTTGTGAAGACCATTTCACGAAACAGCTGCAGGTTCGCGAAAAGGTTTCATGCGGTGCACCGTGCTGTGATAGGGAGCGGACAAAATATGGAGAAAAGGTTGAAGGCATCGCATCGAGTGAGCACAGCCTCTTTTTTTGGCGTTCCTCGTCCACGGCGCACGGAATGCGCACATGCCTCGCCCACTGAGACGGGCTGAATTGCTAGTTTTGCCGTTTTCAAACGGCAAGCCAGCACCATTTACACTGCTGATATATCCTTCTGTTGGTCATCGCACGCTTCTTGCGATGTCTATCATGTCACTAAACTTACGTATTTTTCAATCGGTGTCATTCCCGGATATGTGACCACACCGTTGCGTCTGCCTCGACCTCAAGTCCACGTCTTCTCTGGCAAAACATCGTGTACTTCACTTGAGCGTTTCGGGATGCTTGTGTGTAGCACCGCTCTAGATATCAAAGCCGCGTTAGCCTGCGACGAAAGCAGACTCACGACACGGACGGCATTGCCCGTATGCTCGTTGCTCGATCTTGTTATGAGGGTGGTTAATACCTCACCCAGGGGATTATACACCCAACGACCACGAGGACAATGCCACTCCACGCAACCGATGTGTACCCAATGCACGCCGTTGGTGAATTCCATGTTATTTTTTTAGGAGACGAACAGAGCGTCAACCGGCTACTCTCCAAACCGTACACCGTGGAGTGGAAATTGCTTGGAAGGCGACGAACGGCCCTTGGCGTTATGTGCTTCTTGGTGGAGAGCAGAAGGAGTGCAGCTGGAGGGTCGACCATAAACGGTAGGTCTTCTGATTTAGGGATTGGGCCATCATTCACGTTTAGTCTTCATCTCCGTGGGTAGTGCCCATGGGCTGAGTTGGCGAGCAAAGCCCAGAACTGAACGCGGTCGCTCACCTTGTAGGACGAAGCCGGGCGGTCGGGATTGTGTGAAGGGACTGGATTATCAACTTTTCCTGCGGCATAGGAAACGTCTACTCCATGCTTTACTGGTTCAATGCATACTTCTGCGGCAGGGGGGGGGGGCAGGCGATACCATACACCAGATGTACCCGTCGTGCACTAGAACATTTTCTTGTCGGTCTGCTTTTGAGCAACAATCATATGCACCCCGAGCGGGCTGCGTTCCAAACCATGTTCTTTCAGTGGGGAGATGGTGTGTGTGGTGCGAACACAGCTTTGTTGCTGTTTTCGCATGACTCCTCACGCCACCGTCGCGTGGGCCTTGGTTGTGTTCCTGTCTCTGGTTTGTCCTGGTTTCTTGTCGTTCTTTTTCGGTTTTTCCTCCTGGTTGGTCTGCATGTGTTACCATGTAACTCTCGCCTCTCCTCTCCCGCCTCACGTAGGTGGAGTGATGCAGTAGCAATCAGAATAGCTTCACGGGTAGGGAAAAATCTCATGGGTGGTATAGGCTGAGTTTCTTCGTGATATTCCTCTTGCGCACAGCGCAAATGGTGAGGGAGGGCAAAATGGGGAGGGTGATGATTTATTGCCATGTCTTTTCCTGCATTGCTTTCTCGTTAGCGAAGCGGACAAGTGATGAAGAGGCTTCGCTTTCGGAAGTAGGCGCCCTCTCCTATCCTGCGTCATGGTGACGGACGGGTGGTATGTGTTCAAAATGTTTTTACCGCGTGTTGCGTTTTTCGCGTGGGTGGAGTTGAGACGAAAATTGTTCAGGTCGTCGAAGAATAAGGGCAATACTCCATGCTGCGTTACTTTTTTCCTTTTTCGGGGGTATAACGATAGAACGAAGGAATCTCCAGGCCTTTGATCCGTCCAACTTGGAGTGGAATCCAGCCTCGGGAATGGACATGGCGCATACATTTGCTTGGACGCCCAAGGGCTGATGCGTTGCATCCACCCATTCGCTGGTCCTGCAATCGAAGGAATCTACCCATGCCGGATCTCCGGGTCTTGATTGGCATCGTTGATCACAACATACATTTTGCTGTGTGCAGAATCGGTATCCCTCGGGACGGGAGGTCCCTGCTTCGCTGCGACTGGAGTAGACTCAGCAATCGACATACATGTCGGTAGATGTGAAGCGGCTTTGTGCGTCCAGAGTTCGCGACTATATCTACAACAAGTTAGTATTTTGGATCTTTATGTGGAAAAGAGGTTTCGTCCTCGACAGACGTTGGGGAGTTTCAACCTTTATGAAGGTGTTCTCCACATTTGTCAAGATAATATTTGTTATGTTTATTTTCCGTTCTATAGTAAGGTGTACATAGCCTACCCCTTCTTGACTATGGGTAGTCGGCTTGGAATGACGGAAGGCTTCCGCGTCAGTTGCACCAGTAGCGGATATTACATAGAAAGTACTGAGCGGAGACCGGAACGGTTTTCAACGTGAAAACAACAACAACGAATTCAGCAGCAACTTAAAAAGCCTGATATGTTTTTTGCGACAGCGCGGGCGAAGCCGAGATATCTTCTGTGGCGGCCGGAGGAGCCCGCTGACCCGCAACATGACGAAAGTTCGTTTAGGCGTAACAAACAACAATAGGTTGCGCATTGATAGAGTCTAACCTCCACACCAACTACAGCAGTGTTGCTTTCTAGTCTCGAATTCGGGCGGGTGTCTCCTCCCATCACTGCGCCGATTGTACGGCTGGCTTCGAAGCAAGACGTGCACGGTGACGATACCATGGCTACACGGGCCATCGGACGGTACATATGGCTGCGGCGCCCTTGCACGTATTATCGGGATGCCACAAACTATAATGCGCCTCTCCGACATCACTTGCTCGAATGACTTGACCTGCTCTAGGGAAAGCAAAAACTGCGGTCCTTTCGATTTGTGGAGCACGCATGCGCTTCTTCGTTGAGGGATGGCAGCTGGCAAACAGGCATGTGCAGTAAACAAACCACGCCAGAGACCGACCAACAAACGAACAAGATTGAGGGGGGCGTGCCCTACCCGTAGGTATGAGAGCAAGGCTATGCATACAATGCCCATACGTTGGGAAAACACGTAACGACAGATACACTACTAAAGTACTACAGGCAGACATGACTGTAGACACTGGGTGAGACTGGTTCAGTATGTAGTCTAGACGAAATCTGAGCATATCGTTGCGTCATCATGTTATCAACGGGTTGAGACTCTGCGCACAAAGGATTCAGTAGAATGAATGTAAACGTGCATATCCAAAGGCTGTATTGACCAGCCACGAACAATTTGCACACGCGCCGACACAACCGCGTTGCGCGTGCGGGGCTGATTGGTGGGTGCCGGATTCCGGATCTAGCTGCAATCTACCGCTCGCTGCACACCGTGGATATGTAAGTGGATCCTTGTTGGGTGTTTCATCTTTTAACAAAAAAATTACGGTACATGCAGTCTTGGCGTGGCACCACCCGGGGAAAATTCTTGAACAAATCCTGTCAAACATGAGTTCTCGATTGGTTCGCGAACCAATCTTCGATGAATGTTCCGAATTTGTCTGTTTGTTGTTGCGTTCAGCTCAACAAGGATGGGAGAAGGGAGAAAGCAGGTGAGGGGGCGAGGGGGGCAGACACACACCCACGAGGTCGGATTACGGATCGTGCGAAAGGATCTTTAGGGGGTTCGGGGGTAGGGTTTCCGGAAGGTTCGGAAAGCATGCCGTACTTTTTTGGCGCGCGCGCACGCGGTTCTAGATCGCTACTGCTGTAGCTTGCCGACTGAGCCCCGAGCTGTGCAGGCTTGCAGAGCCCGCCTGCTCGGATGTTCTGTGGTATGTTCCTGCGCGCACAGGGCACTCATTGTGT